AAAGACACAAGGGTTTTGCTAAAGTATAAACTTGTCGCGGGGTAATGCTACAATTCGACATTTTTGCAGCTATCATCACACCCAGACTTGTTCCTGAGTCAGCTACTCTCCAAGGAATCTCTGTAGGTCAGCGTGTTCGTACAAACTCGTTCGTGTTGACTGGGATGCTTACCAGTATGCTGTTCGGCCAGTTGCAATCGCAGTCTGTCATTGTTTAGATTCCCCTTTCAGTAGTGTCTTCTTCCTCGCTGAGGTGTTTGGTAAGTCCCAGTCAGATGGATGGGAGACTTGCTTCATCAGTTTAGATACACGCCGACCTCTAGCGATTCAGTTCAATTCCATTCCATGGGTGTGCTACCAAGGTTGATTTGGTGACTCAACTCAAGCCTGTGGCACCCAATGGATAGGTCACTCTTTGGAAGAAAACGGTTCCTGCCGTCTGTGTCCCGTAACTCGCATATGGCATTGCTTAACTGTTCTTTCTAAAAGTTCAGCTGGACAGTCTATGCAAGTCACTGATGAGTGCAGCTTTTGTGGTTCTCAGGTACGAAACCATCCTTAACACTTACGAGGTAAAATTGTATTAATGTCATAGTCTGAAGGTTTTTCTTTTCGGATGGTGGAGTGTATAGAGCATATTGGAGGTATGTACGAGGCATTCATCCAGTGGTCACGGAGAGTTCAGCCCTGTGCCACGAGGAGTGTTCTTTCTGTTTGCATCGATGACGAGTCTTGTACAACCCCCCTAGGCCGCCCCCGTTCATCCATTCAAGTACAATCATCTGAGCATGTTCTTCCAAGACGTGTACGAGGGTTTCTAATGTAAGCGCCTGTGAGAATGAATTCCCACTGCGATCGAGTGAACGGTGTTGACGGAGAACCCACAGTTCTTCGCGCGCTCTCAGCTCGCATAATCAATTTCATACTTCTGGTTCAAACAATATAATAAGGGTTGCTTTTGTACGGCTTACGTGGCCTCTAGTATGTCGTTAATACATCCCACCTA